CTGCTTTTAACCATAACTCACTGCAAAGTCTGGTCTGTGTGTTCATTTAAAATCCAGGCAGATGACAAGACAAATTTGACAACCAGTGATTATCAAACCAAAAGATAAATATTCATGGTGGACAGCAAGATTTATAAATCTTGCCTGTTCTGATACTGCCACAACAAATATGGTGGGGAGAATGCTTACCTGAAAAGAGGAATCCCCACTACAGAGTGAATGTCATTAAGATGCACAAAGATCTAAAAGAAGAAAAAAAACAACCCAAATATTTTAAAGCCTCAAACTGACATGACAATAGCTTTAACTCTTTAAACCGGACACATATGCTTCTACAACCTTCTGATCTCAGTTTTTAAGAACAAAAATGCATACTATAAACAATAAAAATTAATAGGAAGAAATCCCACTAGATAATCTGAATGCCACTTTAAAAATTATTTAATGCTTAAGCAAGCTGAAGGGGATTTTGTCAGCCAGGAACCCATCAGCAAGCACATGAATTTATAAGGGGGCCTATTTTTACTTAACACAGCATGGGAATTTTTCGTTATAAACTCATTTACTACAAGTGGGAGAATATTATTCACTGTGTACTAGCAACAAAATTAATAAATATGAAAAATCACCAAACAAAAAACCCTAAACAACAACCAAAAAAAAAAAAAAATCGAACAATCAAACAATCAAACAAAAAACTAAACCCCAACAAACAAACAAACAAAAACAAACAACAAAAACAAATAACCCCACCATTACCCCCACTAATGCCACTAAGGGGCAACTCAGATAGAAGTTATGTATAAGTAATCCTTCCAGAAATGTAGTCAGCTAAAATAAATTTTCCTGCTGTCCCAAAGACTGAGCTCCTGAGCAGGCCGTGCATAACTGCAATCCCTGCCCCAAGACAGCACAAAGGGGAACGTGATGCTGTTGAAAAATCCTAGTCCTCAGCACTTGAACAGTTTCAGAGCAAAAACCTGGGCAAGAACAGGAGGTCCACAGGAGCCTCAACAAAGCTGTACATAATGCTCAGTGTGGGAAAACCGGTGCCAGTACATGAACTCCAGAGTCTGGGATGTCTCAGCATCAGTGCTGAGAGCAGCTTCCACAAGCCAAGCGCAGGGACGGAGGACAGCTTGTCAAGAGCAAGGAGTCCTTCGGGAGGTCTCCAGGCAGCTGCACCAGCAAGGGAGCACAAAGGCAGCTGCTTGTCACAGACAGGGCCCAGGGAGGCTCTTCACCAATGGCATTCCCAAGTGCAGCTCCTTGGAGCACGCCCTTGCTGCTCGCTCACCTCCCCTCCAGGGGCCCTAGATAGCCATGGCTCAGGTGATTTCCATTTTTACAGAGTCCAGCAGTCTGTGAGGGTGCTGCATCCTGAAACACCTCCTCTATGGATGCCTCCCTGCCATGCAGGCCCATGCAGCCAGGCTGGTGTTTATTCCAGAGCTCTGGAAAGCACACACACACAAGGGCCACGTGCATGCTCTGCTCAGCACTACCAGCTGATCTCCAGGTAAACTCAGCGGCAGGAAGACCAGCAGGGAGAGGCCACGGTCGCATGTGCAAAGGGAGCAGAGAACAAAACCGAAGGTGTCAGGGATGCTCTGGAAGCATCAACAGGCAAACAAGGAGCACTACCTCCAGGTCAGGGTCCCGCAGGTCCGCGCGCCACCCGCACTGCCTCACCAGAGCCAGGCCAACGGCTCTCCCGATCTCCTGCAAGGGCCAACAACGGTATAAAACGGCAATAAAAAACCACACAGTTCAGAAAACTGCAGATCACAGCCTTGGATGCACAACCATCAGAAATCCCCGGGAAAAGAAAGACTCTGTGCCTAAGAGAACAACTCACACAATTCACAGCAGAAGAGGTACAAGAGGGCAGAGCAGGTGAGCGAGGGCCAAAGCAAACACACCACAGGGCAAGCAACCACTGCTCAACTGGCACGAGAGAGGCCAAGTTCAAGTCCTGACCAAGTCACAACAAAACATTCTCTTCAGTTGGACTTGATCCTTGTGGGTCCCTTCCAACTTAGAATATTCTGTGATTGCCACCATTTTGGAATTCTTAATCACATGCACAAAGTATTTCCAATGGCTCTAAGACAGATTACCCAACAGAAAATCTGCAAATGCACTACAACTCACAATTTTAGTGCTTTCATTACATATAGAAAGCTCTGATTACTTTCAGAGTATAAGTTCAAATATAGCACAAATTTAGGCAAACACCCTTGTAGGGAGGCTCATTTTTCTCACCTCACTAAGGCACTAGCTTTAGTAGTAAAAAAATCTCCTTGCAATGGCCCTTTAAGCAGCTGTAAACTTATCTGATGACTCCTCAGCCTCCACAGGCCAAGAAACCTCAAACTCTTACCTTTGCTTATCCTTAATGAAAGGTATTGATCTGAAAAACGTTAAGGGTAATAGCGCACAGAAATTAAAAACACCATTTGTATTTCTACTTGTTTAAGGTGAATGCAGGCTAAGGGCTTTTTAAGAAAATACAGAAATAGCTTATACCTCAGTTTATCATTCCAGAACACACAACACAACCGAAATAACAATCAAAACTACACATGTCTGTTCCCCTTTCCTGAATTCTTTTAAAATACAGATACTTCAGCATACCTGTGAAGTAAGTATTTTGGCAATTGCTCCACTACAACGACAAGACACTCTGAAACTGAAGCCAAGTTTCTCATTCACAGCAGGATTCTCTCCACTGCCTTTGGAAGGGAATTCTGAGGAAGTCTTGCTCTCAATCCAGCACTCCTGACTGCTCATTTTCTCTGGTACCACACAGGTCTCTCCAACTTTCACCTGACATTCCTCAGATACCACTGCTCTCACTTGTTCCGTTTTCTGTCTTTTACTTGCAGTATTTATCTCTTCTTCTGACTTTCTCTTCAGACTCGATGCATTTTCTTTAGAGACATCACCTGTTCTCCCCTCCTGTCCATGAAGCTTCCTCCAAAAAGAGATAATAGCCAGCCAGTATTTCGGCTCCTCAATGACAAGGCTTTTAATCTCCTGAAGCATTTTTCCTGGAAGAAAAAAGCAGTTAAGTACTTCAGCCTTGGCATTTCATTTCTCTACAGACTGAGAACAGCTGTTAACAGCAACTGTGTTCAGATTTCATTAATGTGCAAACTTAGACTTCTACCTGTGGGCAGACCTAAGCTAGCTACAAGACAGGCATGAGGAACAGAGGGGCCAATTCACTCAAACACCGCAAAGAAGGTCAAGGAAAAAGAAAAAAGAGTCTTTCTAGTTATCCCTTAAAATTTTAGAATCACGATCAAATTTCATTCTCAAAGCTGAAGGTAATCTCTAAAATAAAAACCCACCAGCAGGCAGCTATCAATCCATCCAACTTGAAATTCTCATTCCAACACTGACAGAGAGTATGACCCAAGTAGCTGAGACTTAGAAGGAAGCAGTGTACTTATTAGCAATTTGACACAACCTACAGGTCGGGATTCACTTTGTTTAAGAGAAAATAAGACTTATTGTTAAAATAAACACAAGAGATCCAGGACTAAACTTTGGGGTTTTTTTATTTTGGGGGGGGGTGTTCTCTTTCTGGGACGAGGCGGGGAGAGAGAGTCTCAAAAACACAAATACACATTCAGTGCCGGCAGAATACAGGCTGGAAGGTAGCTATTGAAAACAATTTAAAAGCCCTTTTCAGGTTAATGTTGAAAATACACGTGGGTGAAAGACACTTCAGAATCTATTCCTGTCAATTAGAACCACAGCCACTAGCAAAAAAATAAACACCTCAAATTTTATAACTAGGACTCAAAGCGAGGCATCCCGCCCCCGCGCAGCCCGTACCTCTGCTCCCGGACACCGGCAGCGGGCTGTGCTTCTTCAGCAGCAGGAACAGGCGCTCTCCCGACCGCAGCTTCCGCAGCTGGCCGAGCCCCGCCGCCGCCCTGAAGAACACTTTTCCCGAGACGCAGTCCACCTCGGGGAGAGCACCCGTGGGACGCGGCCGGGCGGCTGCGGGTGAGCGGCTCCCGCAGCCCCGGCTCCCCGCGGCTCCCGGCCGACCCCGACCCCGACCCCGACCCGCGCCGCGGCCCCGCAGCACCGAGCCCGGCGAGCCGGGCTCCGGGGCGAGCAGCGCACGCGGCCGCGATCCCTGCTGAGGCGGAGCGGAGCGGAGCGGAGCGCCCAGGCGGGCACCGGCTCCGGCTCCCCGCTCACCCGGGCCGGGCCGGCGGATCCCCGCTCACCCGGGCCGGGCCGGCCCCGCTCCCCTCTCCCCGCTCACCCGGGCCGGGCCGGCCCCGCTCCCCGCTCACCCGGGCCGG